AACCAACACAATTACTAGTCTGGGATAAAAAAAAACCTGTGGAAAACACATAAATATCACCATATAAATAGTTCATTTTGTTTGCAGTAATGAGATTTAAGAACACTGGGCATTGGCATTGAGCCAGCTCAGCCAACTGTTGAATTTATTCTCTGAGAGATTGTTTTTAAGTCCATAACTCACTGGTGTGCCCAGCGTGCGTGTTGGCCCAGTCCCTGATCTCTGGGACTCGCAGGTTAATTGTTTCAGGCAACAGTAACAACGTGGATCTCCTTGTCACAGGAGGTGGAGGAGTCCTTCTTGCACCTGCAGTGGAATTTAGGTGTGCAGCAAAGCACCATAGACATGAGCAACCCCAGAGTAAGCAGCAGACAAATTACCCATTTCACCCTCCCTGAGTACATAAAGGGGAGGATGAGGATGGCAAGGATCACCCCAAGCAGCAGGAGCAGCACGAGTCTCTGCACAACCAGGCTGGTGTGTGCTGGGCTGTTTTCCTCTGTGTTTAAAATGTCTTGGCTGCTCTGAGTCCAGCTATTGCCATCCAGCCCCATGGCACAGATGTACACCTCAGGGTTTGAATCGAGGTTCTCCAAGCACTCCAGGATGTCTTCTTTATTCTGGAGCGTGCGGATGAGCCCTCCTGACACGAAGGTGGGTTTTCTGCAAAGAGGGCAGGTGATTATCCAGGTGTTCTCCTCTTTCCTGAGGATCAGCTTCAGGCAGACGGCACAGAAGGCATGCTGGCAGTCCAGGAGCTTTGGGACTCTGTAGATGCTGTACTTGTTGAAGCAGATCATGCAGTCCATATCCAGGGTGGCTGTGTGTGAGCGCTGCTGGTTCAGTTCCAACGTGCTCATTTCGGGAGAGTTTGTGTTCGTTAGCACAGCAAGTGGCCTTGAGTTTGGAGAGTCTCCTTCCAAAACTGCTGGTTTAAAGGTAACAGGACAGTCTCTCTCTGTTCCTGAAGGTCTCTCCATTTCTTCAGCACACTCTTCAGTGAATCTCACTCTCTTCTCGCGTTTGGAGTTTTGTGTTACGGATCCTGTTCCGCTCATTTCTGCAGCACCTCCTGCCGCGGGCGCGGGACCGTCTGCCTCAGCCTGCACTGCTCCAGGAGCTGACCATCTGTTTGCCTTGTCAGTGGATTTCTCCATGGAGATAAACCTCGGTGCAGCTTGTCTCCCCTTAGCTGAAGGATTTCCCAAGTCTCTGGCTCCTTTTATGTGTTGCTGTATTCCTGTTGTGTGCCTGGTTGATTGGTGAGAGCCTTAAGCGAGTCATGCTCTTACAATACGATGTTTTTATGGCATGAGGACCAGAGTTAATGATTGACTTCCCAGCCAAGACAGTTTACAAGGACTGATAATATCAGTGGGCAATTCCTGTCTGGAAGCAGACTCCATGGCATTAGCAGACCACTGACAGCCAGACACTACCATTATTATTAAATTAGAACTCTCTTAGTTGAAAGCAATTTCATTGTTCTCTAAACAGTGCTTTGCTGGACAGTGACAGGCTTGGGGGAATTACCCATTTCTAACACTGGTGTGCTGAATGCCCTGCTTTGATTAGAGCATAATTATCACCAGTTTGGAGCACTCTGGGTAGGAAGTTTGCTCTTGGTTTAGAAATACTTATTACCCTACAGCACCAAGTGAAGAATGAGATTGAAATTATAAATTTGACAGTTGAATGTCTAATTGTTATTAATGCTTTTATGCTAGGGTACCTCCTTTTTCATCCTAGGATAACTCTTTTAGTCAAGTTTTGAGTACAAACCCAAGCATGACTGAGGCCCAAACAGGGTCTCTCAGAGTCCATGAGAAAGATCTGGAAACTAAAAGCAAGACCAGTGTCCTAGATGGTGGGACCATCTTCTTTGCTGTGGTGTTCACCAAACAATGTCATGCACTTGGGAATGCCCTTCCTGAGTGGTTTTGTGAATATTCATCTTGTCTGAAAAAAAAAATGCCTAAACAAAATGCCTCAGTCTCTAATTTCTTTCTGCCTTTTTATTTGAGGAGTAAAATACAGATGGTTTCTCAGCAAGAATCCCATGGAAGGAAGGAATGAAAGGAAGGATCACTAATCCCAAAAAGCCAGATGAGGTCAGTGTTACCAGCAGAAGACACACAGTACCACGCTGGTAGCCTCAAGTGCCCCTGAATGCTCACACTGCCTGTGCCTCCATGTCCCAGCCTCTCCCTCCTAGAGAGGAGCACCAGAAAGAAATGAAACAACAGCAGATGTCGAGGGCAAGGAGTTCAGGGAGGCTCTAATCTCATGAACTCGCTGGAGGAAGGGGTGAGGTGAGAACTTATTGCTGAGAAATAGAGGGTTTGTCGTAAGCAAGCTTCGTCAAAGTGCCCGAGCACTGCTCTGTTTCTGCTGATGTGGCATGTGGTGGTGCTTGATGGACTTTTGGATGACCCCAAATTTTAGGAGCTTGAGTATCTCTCAGTTGCAGAAGTTGGTATCAAAGTGCAGGAATATCTGGAAGAAGGCTGGTGAACTGCCAGCCAGACTGAAGTCTCATTTATCTTTAAAAAGACCGTTTTCTTTTGCATTTCACATAACTCTTTGTCAGCAAGTTCATGCTGTTAAAAAGATTCAGGAAAGTAGAAAACAGACTTGCTATATTACAACAGTTTAGAAGCTTCAGATTTGCTCTGTCAGTTCCCACGTCCAAAATGTCTTAGAATTTCCTGATTCCTGATTATGACACCTTGCAGAAGATGGAACAGACACCAAGAGGGACAACTATACTCCTAACATAAAAAGTTTAAAACTAGTGGGAATGAATTTATGCTCCAAGTCTATCTGCTCTCTGTTCTACCAGTGGGTGGAGGTGATTTGTCTGTGTTTTTTGTGATGGAAAAATAGATTTTTGTTGTTCTCCCCACTGACAAAGTTTTCAGCCAAGCCCTGATCCTGGCTGTGCTTTGTCTCTGCTGTCACGAGTGATGCTCCCTGGCTGGCACGTGCCTTGTGCTTATCTGAATTGCTCACAGCCTCTTAATGCTCCTCAGGCTAATTACTGCCCCATTAATCATTTCCAATCAGTTTCTGTACTGGCACTGTTTCCCTGCTTTTAGTGTGTTTGCATTAAAAACATTTATTTCCATGAAAGGCTTTGTATGGAATTGTTTATAGCAGGAAAGAGATGTAAAAGAGCAGTTGTGTCATTCCTAGTAAAATCCTCAGAAGCCAAAACACCCCAGGAGATCCTGGGGATAGTCCTGTGAGCTTCTCCCTGTGCTGAGCTGTGGTTCAGGTTGTCCTGACTCGGGAAAAGAGGAACAGAAAAATGATATACAACTTAAAAATCGCTGTGATGTGAAGCCTCTTACTGTATTTCTGGGACTGTTTTGTTGTGTTCCTCAGGAAGTTGTTTGGATGTGGATTCCTCACAGCATCTTGTGAGGAGTCTCCCTCAGTGCAAAAAGAAACAAGAGGCGGAGGTTCAGTTTATTACAATTACCACATTTAATTCATCGCTGCTGTCTCAGCTCCTCTCCTGCCGCACCCCTGCTCTCAGCCCTGTTCTCCTGGTGCCACCTCGCGGGTATTCCATCTGCTCACCTCCCTGATTTAATGAAACTTATTAAGATTTATTTCGCTTATTTCGCGTTCCAGTACATTTTGGTTTGGGTCGAGCAGCCCCGCTCTGGGGTGGGGTGTCCTGGTGTAGAGCGGCAGCAGAGAGCGCCCACCCTGAGCCCATCGCGGGGCGTCACGGTGAGGGCCGGGAGCTGTGCTGGGCAGCAGGGGAGTGCAATTAGCGATGGAGGCCAATTAGCCGCAATCCGGCAGCTTTTGGCACAGCACTGATGATTTGTGGCGCTGCTTTCCGCAGCCTCCCCAGCCTTTCCCCGCGGACGCGCCGCTCCCGGCGCTTGGCTGCGCCGCCCTTCCCTTCGCCGCTGCGGCTTTTCGATCCCGAGCCTCAGTTTCCCCCCCAGGAAACTCCTCTTCCTCCTCCTCTTCCTCCTCCTTTTCTTGCTCTTCCTCCTCCTCTTCCTCCTCCTCGAGGATCCCCCAGGCGCGCGGGCGCTCACGTGACCCCGTCCCGCCGCCACCGCCACGTGACTCCCTCCACGTGTCCCCGCCACGTGACTCGCTCCCGGTGCCGGTGTCAGGTGACCGGCGGCGGCGGCCCCGGCGGGGATGTCCCGCAAGCAGGCGGCCAAGGCCCGGCCCGCCACCGGCGCCAGGAAGGGCCGGCGGCCCCGGCATTCCCCCGCCGGACCGGCCCCGGGCCCCGCTCCGGCCCACAGCAGCGGCGGTTTCGCCGGGCAGCTCCGCGCCCTCGGCCTCAAGCTGCGGGAGGTGCCGGGAGATGGGTGAGCGCCGCGGCGGGTGTCCCCACAGCAACCCCGGGGCCGGCGGTTCTCCGCACATCCGAAGGCTGACGGCTTTCTTCTCCTCGTGGGGGCCGAGGGCTTTCATCGCTCCCGGGGGTGGGATGCCCGTGTCCCGGGGGCCGAGGATTTTCCCCTCCCGGTTGAAGTGGGCCCTGTGCTCCGCAGGGGTGAGGATGTCCCCGCTGTGGCCCTCAGGGATCTCTGCTGTTCTCTGCGCTTCTGTAGGGCCTGGCGGCACGGCCAGTCCCAGCCCTGCTGCCCAGGGGGCCGAGGGCTCCACTGTCCAGCGGGACTGAGCTTACAGAGGTCCATAAATGTTCTTATGGATCACTTACGCTCCCTTCTGTTCTGTCAGGTGAAGGGGTAGTAAACGCTTCTGCTGAGAGGTTGTTCTGAGGGGAATTGTCCTTTGTTGGTCTGTTGTCAGCGTGACAGTTTGGCACAGCAGTTTTCCCATCACACAATCACTCAGACCCAGCTGTCCCAGCAGCCACAGGGAATGAGCGCTCCTTTGCATTCTTATCCTTGCTAAAACAGACAGAACAAGCGCAGCCCCTTTTCCCTGTGACCCCGTTATTCCTTCTGCTGCCTCACACACACACACACACACACTCACTCCTCATTTCAGCAACTGCTTGTTCCGGGCCCTGGGGGACCAGCTGGAGGGACACTCCCGGAACCACCTGCGGCACCGCCAGGAGACCGTGGAGTTCATGCTGAGGCAGCGCGGGGACTTCGAGCCCTTCGTGGAGGATGATGTGCCCTTTGACAAACACGGTATGGGCTCCCTGGCACATCCTGGGAGGCATCGTTGTGTCGTGGGGTTGTATCTCCTTCCTAACCAGTTCCTCATCCTCAGCCCTTAGGGCTCCTCTCTAGTTTTTACCAACATGGACTTTATGGCTGTTGAGATGCTGTGGGAAAGCGAGCTGTTTAATCTGCATTGAATTTGTCCTGGAAATGATTTAAATTTAGGAAATTTGGAGAAGGAGAGAGAGACCACAAAGGCAAGGAGTAAAAATTAGGTGTTTTCAAAAGGAACTTAAGAAAAATTGTCTCGTTCTCCTTGAATACTGGTGGGTATTCAGCTATTTTGGTGAGTGGCTGATTTCTTTGGGTTTCTTTCTCTTGGCACTCAGTATTTCCTCCTGGGAACTGAGGGGAAGATCCAAACCAGAAGCAAATACAGCCTTTGATGTGCCAGGTACCATGCAGATGATGCATGAAAGTGGTTTGGTCACTCAGTACTCAGCCACTCCTCCTTCTGAGCTAACAGAGCCAGTGGCCTTGCTTAGTCTAAGGGTGTAGTGCCTTTTTTTAGAGATTTCTGTGGTCATTTAAATGCATTAACTCATGTTGCAGCCAAGTTCTTGCCTCAGCACTCATTGTTTCACAGGTGGGATTTCTCTTCCAGAATTTCTCAGGCTCATGTTGAAATCTCACCCCTCATTATCCCTCCACTACTTTTGGAAGTATCAGAAATAAGCTTCCAACTCTTGTGAATGTTTTTTCCTTTAGTTGCCAATTTGGCCAAGCCTGGTACTTTTGCTGGCAACGATGCTATTGTGGCCTTTGCAAGGAACAATCAAATTAATGTGGTTATTCATCAGCTCAACGCTCCACTGTGGCAGGTGAGAAACAAAGCTTCTACGTTTTGGCCTGTTTTTTTACCTGAGGGATGTAAATAGTGTGGAAAATTCCTGATTTATTAAAAAAAGAGCAGTAGCTGCAATGATCTGGGTGTGGTGCAGAGCTGTGCTTGGTTTTTGAAGAGGGGGAACACTGGAGATTTTGGCTAGGAGGAGAGGGAAGGAAAGAAAACAGTGGGTGCATGATGGGTATGTTTATTTTTTATTTAGGTTTTAAGCTAAGAGCTTCAGTGCTGTGCTGTCTCCTGAAGATCAGCTGCATGGGATGTGGAATGCCAGGGTTTCTGACAGATAGAGAAATGAGCTTTTAAAAGAAATTTTAAAACCTTGAAGTGGTGTTTAGTCAGTTCCTGGAAAGGACTGATGTGGTGTGGTTTCCTCTGGTAGAGGGGCACTGAAACAAGTAATCCATCAGGTCCCTTGTGTTCTCTTTATTGTTGTTTTTCCATGGCAAGTCCACACTGGAATGGGTCCATGCTCAGTCTGCCTGGTCATTGAACAAGTGAGAACCTGAATTCAAGTCAGAATTGTTTCTGGCCTCTATTTACAGGCAGAACCAATGAAGTATGTAGATTAAACAGGGCAATAAAGATTAAAAAAACAGATGAAAGCTGTCAGTGACGTCTTAAATACATTTAAAACAGTGTCACGTGGATTCCTGAACTCAAACAAGTTTGAACTCCCATTTATAGGCAGCTATGGGCAGTGGGACAGGTGGGTGAAGTACCTGTGCAGAGGAAGTGACCCTGCAGAGGTCACAGGGATGGTTTTCATGTGTTGTTCCTCAGTGTTATAATGTACTGAGATTTTGATGTCCTTTTTGATGTCCTTGGTTCTTTAATCTCCTCTCATTGACCATGTTAGGGTGTCAGCACAGAGTTTGTGGTGAGTTTTTGCCTTGCCTGAGCAGTGCTGTTAGTGAAGGGTTGTCTCAGGCCCTTGGGAACAGTGTGAGTTAAGAGAGCTGTGAGTAGCTGTAGCATCATGAAATGCTCTTTACAGGTGGACATCTCTGCATGAATTTCTTGGTCTTTGAACACCCCTTAACTTTTTGATAGTGACTGTAAATTATAGAATTTACAGAATAGAATAGAATTGTAGGATTGTTATTATAGAATCAAACTGTTAAAGTTGGAAAAGACCTTTAAGGCCATGGAATCCAACTGTAGACTCAAGTTAGCTGAGATTTGTAGGTTATTTTATTGGCTTTTTGGATAACAGGATCAAATTGGTGGCCTTCTCTGGGCCCACTCCAGAGTGGAAAGAGGCTTCTCTAATAAAGAGAATTTTCAAATATTTCAAGAGTTTTGGGATTTGTTCCACACCTGTTCAAGCTCTGGCATAGGAGAAATGTTTAAAATAAATCTCACCAAGTTTCACCATTTGAATAATTGAATAGGCTAGAAAGCAGGAGTTAAGTATAACCAAGAGTTGAGTTGGCACCTGAAGGTGAGCAAGTGTAAAATAGATGGAGAATTATTTGTTGGAAAAACTGAAGTCATCAGTGCAGCACAGACCACAGCCACTGAAAGGTGACTTAGTGTGTGGTCTGGAGCAGAGATAAGACAATTCACAGACGTAAAAGGGTTGGGAAACTCTTGGAGCCCTAAAGCAAGGAGTTCTGGTCCTTTGCTTGCTGACGTCTGCTCCAGGTCTTTGAACTTGGGCTGGCAGGTCAAGCCAAGCTGGTCTGCAAGTGCAGTGGGATTTTCTGTATTTGCAGGAGCTGGAGTGCTGTGTAGCTCTTATCTAACAGTTTGAGACACTGATAGTTGGGGTAGGAACTATGCTCACATCAGTACAGATAATTCTCAGAGCAGGAATTTTCCGTGGAAACTGCTGTAACTTGGTGCTGACAAAGCAAAGCAGCATTTGGTTGTTAACAGTACTCCTGAATGGAGTTAATACATTTTCATGGATTTGTTTTCTTTTAAAAGCAAAACACAGCTGCCTGGAATGCTGGTAAAACAGCATCTTGTCCCAGCTGCAGATCAAAATTTAGTCTGAGTGACTGTTTCCACTCTTGCTGTCATTTGAATGGCCTCTCTTCCCTCATTTTTGAGGGTAAAATGACTTGGTACATTCCCTGGGAGCTCTTGCTGAAGTTGGTTCTGGGAAGATGAAAACCGATAGCTCCTGTGGAGAGTTCAGGAAATAGTTCTGAGCTTTCCACAAAAAATATTTTCATTCCATGTTCTGTTTGTTCTGATGTAACTGCTCAATATTTTACATCTGGCTTTCAGACCTCCTTCTCTTCCTGTTCCAAATGCTCCAGCAACCACATACTTGCTTCCCTCACGGTGTTTGCTATCACTGCAAAAAACTAATACTGTGGAAAATCCGATGCTGAAGCTGATTCCAAGCCCTCATTTTCAGTTTGTTTCTTTTGTTGAGATCCGGGGCACAGACAGGAGCGATGCCAGGGAGCTGCACATCGCCTACAGGTACGGGGAGCACTACGACAGCGTCAGGAGGATCAGCGACGACTCGGAATCTCCGGCCTACCTTCGGATGGAGGTTGGTTGTGAGGGAATGAGGCAGCTGTGGGTGACAGGCGGAGCTGAGGAGTGCTGCCAACTGATTTCCATTCTCATTCTGGATGGAGGGAAGAGCTGGGTCTCTGTGTTGTGCTGGGGGAGCAAAGCCCTGAGGTCGTTGTAGCTCATGCTGCTGGCTCTCCTGGAAGGGGATGTGAGGGAGGATTTCAGCCTCTGGGCTGGAAATGAACCCAAAGCTGGTGCTGTGGTGTGGGATGTCTGGAAGCAACCTCATCTGAATGATGTAATCATCAACCTCAAATGGAAAAAGAAAGGGAAGGGAGGAAAGATACCTTCATCTATATCTTCATATCTCCCTTTTTGATGTTGAGGAGTAACTGTGCTGTGCTTGAGGTTCTCTGCACACAGCTGAGGTGTGGTATTGTATTAAAAACAATCCATTTAAAAGCTAATTTATTGTGATTCATGATTTGGAGTTTGTTCAGCAGTGCAGGAGATGTGGGAAACTCTCAGTGATGGTGGAAGTTACACAGCTTTGATGGTTTGACACGGGATGTTCCTGAGAAAAGTGTGCCATGATAATTACTTTTATTAGGATGTCAGACTTCTTTGGATTGCATGCTTGTGTGATCTGCTGGGCTTTGCTCTTCCTCAGATGCTTTGCAAGAACAATTCAAATAAATCAGAGGAAGTGAAGCCACAGAAGGGTGACTCTGAAGATGAGACTGAAGTGGAGTTGGAAGATGCTGTACAAAAAGTGTGCAATGCAACTGGGTGTTCAGTAAGTATTGAGGAGCCTTTCTGTGCTTAATGTTCAAACCTCCTTGGTACATGGAAGTAGTCCTGGGAAAAATGCTAAAAAACACTCATCTTGTACAAACTTGAGTATCAGGGCCATCAATCAGGGTGCATCTCATCCTAGAATCAACCCTTAAATGCAGGTGAAATAGCAACTTTTTTGTGGATGCCTAGTAATTTTGGTAGATTTGTCTTGCAGCTCTCATAAAATTTACTTGGAAACAAATCCTGTAAGTTCTGAAATCCTTTGGGGTTATTGAAGATCCCAGATAATTGGATAATCTTTCACTCTTGGCACTGTGCAGGTGGCTAGAACAGAAAGGACCAAGAGGGGAAACTTACACTGAAAACAGCATATTCCTTTTTTTCTGATATCTTCAGGAATTTAAGGTTTTCCCCCTCACCCTTTCAGAAATAAAGCACAGACCAACTGAATGATCATAAAAGCAGCAGCCCCCTCTCAGCGGTGTAGGTGTTGTTAAGTGAATGTAGGTCAGGGATGTGAACTTCTTCAGTGTTCTCCTTCCCCTCTTGTGGACAGGACATTGATTTAGTAAGCCATGTTCTGGAAGTGGAGGACTACAACGTGGAATCTGCAATATTTGCCATCTTGCAGATGAAGGAAGGGGAAGGAATAGGTGAGTGCACAGTTTGTCACCTGGGGCTTCGGGTGACTGTGATGCTGGTGGTGGGGACAGCAGCAGGACAGGTGGGGTTTGTGTGCTCAGCCTTCTGTGCTCAGGAAGGTTGTCAGTGAGGGCAGTTTCAATCCAGCTTCCAAAAAAACCCCAGGATTTCTGGGAAAAGGAATTGGCTGACAGTGTGACAGCTCCTGGGTACAGCATGTCTGAGAAAACCTCTGCTGTTGGCAGGTACTGAGGAGCAGCAGGAGACCCCAGGCAGGGAGCAGAAATCCTGCAGCAGGACACTGTGGGAAGAGAATGGAACTGGTTCAAGAATCTTTGGAAATCAGAGCTTGCATCAAGGTGAAGCAGAAAACAGCAAGGAGCAAGCTGGATCCAGGGAAGAGAACCGAGCCAGCAGAAACCCAAAGGTGTGTGAGGGGTTTGGCAGCAACGTGAGCACCCTTCAGTGATTGCCTTAGCGTTGCTCACTCAGCAATTCTGTTCTCCTTTCAGTTAAAAAGAGCTTCTGCTCACTGCATTTTGTCTCTGCTGCAGCTGTCACTGCTCCCACAAACATTTCCTGGTGATGTGCAGCACTCTTCCCAAAACAACCCAGAATAAAGCCCTGACAAATAGTTAGGAATGTCCTCTGGCAGCTGCCTCAGTATCTGCCTGTCTTCTTTATTACTTTTCCCCAGCTGAGCAGAGTACATGTGGTTTGAACTTTGTGTTTTCACCCTTCCCTTCCAGGTAGCCAAGAAACAAAGGAAGGAGCAGCAGCGGCTGGAGAAGAAGAAGCGGCAGGAGGAGAGGCACCGGCAGAAGGTCCTGGCCACCAAGAGGGACAGTGCAGACACCAGGACAGAGCCAGAGCCAGCCAACCACGTCACCCTGGTGAAGGCCACGGCAGCCCTAAACATATGACTCAGTGCTCTCATGAGAAAAGCAAATAAAACAAAGAAGACAAAATTCCCCTAGGAGAATTTCCAGGCACCCGTGGTTATTTTAAAATCCGTCTCTGGTGAGATTTCCAAGCACAAGAGAACTTCCTCTTCCTTTGCTTGTGGGGAGGACAATTGCTCATTGATTCTGCATCAACCTGTGGTGAGAAGAGTTGTTTAAACTTAACAGGAAGTAAAGACTTGAGTCTGTAGTCTTGGAGTTAGATGAAGGTGAGAACCTTTTCTTCACACAACGGTGTCAGATTTGTTTTGACATCTCTTGATGTGCCTGGTCTTGTTTGGTTTGTTTTTTTTTTTGCCTTTTATTTGGTTATGCCTGGAGGAGCTTTACTTTACCTTGCTGTCAGGGAAAGCTTAACAAATACCAACTCAGGAATATCTCTGGTGGGTCTTTTTCTATTTAAATTCAAATAAAGTAAGAGAACAGAGTCCCAGAATTCTCTCCAAAGCCAAGTGTGTCAGTCAGCGCTGTCTCAAACATGACATTCCTCTTTTGTTTGCCATGCAGGAGTGCAGTGACAAGTTTTAATCTCACTGGAATTGCTGGCATTGCACTGGGCTGGTTCAGAAGTGATGAATACATGCAGATGGGGATTGTTGCATCCATGCTTGCTGAGGTTTGGGATCAGCTCCTTTAAGATGAGACCTGTAGGGGGGAAAAAGACCTCCCCAAAACAATGATCCAAGTGGACTCATGAGAATGCAGAGCTGATTCTTCCAATTTGGTAAAATGTGACAGGAACAGGCTTAAAGTGTCTGGTGAGTTGTTGTTACTTGAACACTTGGAATCTCTTTCCCCTTTTCCAGAGTTTTTGGTTATTCCAGGGCTTTAGTCCAAACCAGGAGCTGGATAGGTGTTAGTATCCAAATGAAATTACTATAGCCAAAGGACCAAGAGTCTTGGGAAGAAGCTTCCAAGCAGCAGTGATCCCTGGGAGACCTGCCTATTTCACTTCATAATAAATCAAGCTTTTTTCCAGGGTAGGATTTTTTTTCATCTTAAATTCCATTTTGGTGAGGTCACCAAGTAGGATGTAAGCTTGACTCCTGTGATGTTTTCCACTGTAGGACTGAGAATTCGAGGTGCAAGGACTGTGGGACTCAGCCTTTGTTTTATGGCTCACAGTGTTTCAGCTCCACTCAGGTTTTTGCGCTTGTAGCAAGCCCTAAGCTTGAAGAAATCACATGTGCACTTACAGGAGACACCTTATCAGCCAGGGCAGAGGTGAAAGGGATTTTTAAAAAGGAAGGAGTGTTGCATTTGAAAAATTTGTCTGTGTTTTAAAGTTTATGAATCAGCATGGAAATATAAATGTTTTTTTTTTACTGAACTGCCAAGAACTGGGCTGATACTTGATGTGCTCTGCTGCTGTTACTTGAAGAATAAAAAGAAAGGAGTTCTTCTGGAAGAACTGGTGGTGTTGGAATTCCTTTTTCTCCAAGACAGTCATTTTTACAGTAGTGGGAAGAGAGGTGAGTCACAGCTTAGTGGGGAGAAAGTGCAATTTCCTTCAGGGGGTGATGAGTTGTGACAGCAGGTTTGGCAAGGCAGTGCAGGTGGCTGTGTCACCTGTGTCCTGCCCTGCCCTGCAGTTTGATCTGAAAGGCAGGTGTGTTCTGCAGGTTTGAAAAGATAAAGAGTTTGCAGTTGTGCACTGTGAGAGGTTTGATCTTAATGAATTGGGTTTTTGTCCTCTGGAGTCAGAGCTGATAAGAGATTTGTTGTTGCCTGGAGCTTGAGAGCTGTGAAAGGAGCTGTCCTGGAGGCTGAGGAGGGAACTCAAACCTCACCCCATCGTGTGCAGGATGAAAGAGGGGGTCAGCAACAGCAGCACAAACAGCAGAGGAAGAGACTGGCCCAAAGCTCGTATCCTCTGATACATGGAACAAAATCTGGGGCTGAAAATGCTTTCATTTCTGAGTGTAATATGATTAAAATAAACTCTTAATGTGCTGGGCTCACAGATCTTGACAAACCAGTCAAATTCCCTTTATCTTGCTGGGGTAGCTTTGTGCCTGCACAACCATTCCATATCCAAAGATGTTAAAACTGATTTTGTCTGTTTCACGTTTTTCCCATTGAAATTTCCACCTTCCTAATGTATATATTTATATTTTTTTTTCCCTAGGAAATCTTTGCGCAACATTCTTCACAGAACTCAGTTTACACAGTGAAATTTGCTTTGTAAACAGGCCGTGGATTTTCCTGGGAAGAGGAAGGGAGGCGAGAAACAAGAGCAGAACAACACCATGATTCATACATAGCGTGTGTTTACTCCTTGGTGGAGCTGAGTGCTCCGTAATCCGGTGCCAAGGACGGACAATAAGCAGTGGATATTCCCTTTGGGCTTTGAGCAGGATTACTGTTTGTTCTTAGCTGCTGGCTGACAAATTTGAGGGTGTTTTGGCTGTTGCTGCAGCAGGGTCACTGTGAGCCTCTCAAGGGTGAATACGCAGCAAGAGGATGTAGAAAGGCCGCTTTCCCTGCATCCTATTTCCCACCATCATCTTCCCTGGACTTATTTTCCCAAATCCTGCCCCTGGAGGTGAGGAATTTAGTTGAACTGGAAGTTTTAAGTGTTTAGGCAGGTTCTGGCTGATCTCTATAAGCACATCTGTGTAGGGAAAGGGTTTTCTGCCCGTGCTGCTCCATGTTTCCTGTCCCTTGTTCCTACTCAGGAGCTGCACTCTGGTTTTATCTCACAGCTTTGCCACATCTCCATGTCTGCAGAGCTTTGGGAGTAAAATGGGCATGAAGGACAATCCATAATCCAGTGTTGGATGAAAGGAAGATGGTTTGTACTGGTGTTGAGCTGTGGGGTGGTTCCTAGGAGTTTTCCTGGGTGCAGGCACCAGCCTCAGAAGGCAGCATTGGCTCTGCCTCAGCTTCTAGAATTGTTATTGACTGTAGAAAATGAGAATAAATGAGTGGTTTGGAGTTATAAAGATACCACATTTACTGCAGGAGTGTGAGGTGGGAGTGTTGTTACTTGTAATGAAACACTTAACAGAATCAGGCTCTTAAGATTTACTGTTTGGCTGCTAAAATGTCACTTCTGGTCATTTTTTAAGAAAAAATGTGTGCAGGATCATCAAAAAATCAGCCCTCAAGCTCCATGCTGTTACCTACCCCTTCCACCACCGATTCCCAAAACACAACACAGGTCACAATTGAAAAACACATCTTTATTTTCAGGTTTTACCTCATTTTTATGAGCTATTTAACCATGGGAAGCAGATCTTCCCTGTGCTAAGGCTCTGGGGAAAGGTGCTGGACACCTTTTCAGTGCCACAGATTTGTGCCACGTCCTGCCTGGCCACAGGGGAGGCAGAACTCCCTGATTCTGATGGTTTCTGTGAGCTTTGGAGCCCCAGCCTGGCAGGTGTGCTCAGCAGGAGGGTGTTCTGCCCTTGCACTTGGATTTGGGGTAGTTGTCGTAGGATTTGCGGTAGGTGCTGGCTGCCCTCTGGAAGCACTCCACCGCCTTCTTGTCACAGGCACAGATCCCTCTTTGGCACCCATTCCCTGTTCCTGGAAGAAAATGAGGGGAGGATGGAAGCAGGTGGAGGGTGTGGGGGTCAGGGGGTGGTTTTTGACCGTCCCCACAGAGTGCACAGCCCCTCTGTTGAGTTTGGGGTGTGTCAGGTGTGGGGTGTGGAGCTGCCTGGCCCTGGAGGGAACCCTTTCTCTGATGTGGTGTTTGCCAGGATCACTGGGATGGGCTTTGGGACAAGGAGTTTGCTCTGGGGGAATCAGGGTGACTGTGCCAGGTCCCCCCATCCAGGCTCATCTCAAACCCTTGGTATTTGGCCTCTTGGGAAGGACAAAGTCTCTCCTCAGGGAAGTCTCCAAGCTCTGAACTTCACCATAATCCAGCAAATAACTTATTTGCCTTATTCCAGGCACTTTTCCTGTATTTCCCCCCACTTCACTGTGTGTGCTTTCCAGGCCAGGGTGGTCTAAAGGGGATCTTGGAAGCTGAGCTCCCTGAGAGTGCAGGGTGGCTGTGCCTCCCTGCTCAGAGCTCTGCCCCCGCCCCGCTCTCACCGCAGGTTATTCGGTTTCCTTGGAAGACGTATTTGTAGATGGTCCTTTTGGGGCTGCAGCCAGAGGAAACCAATCTCTTGTAGCAGCAGTCGTGGGCATGGCAGCACCTGGGGGCACCAGAACCGAGGTCAGGGCAGGGGACAGTTGGGACAACACTCAGAACATCAACAACACCTTTGCTGTGCATCTGTGCTGCCGCTGAACCACTTTCTAAAGAGGCTTTAAGGACAAGCGACAATTTTCTCATTGCTATTTCCACCCCCAGGAGCAGTAACAAGTTTCCACTTGCTGTAGCAGGGAGGTGAGGAGGGCCAGGGGCACCTGCTGTGCCTTGACCCTGTCCCAACGTACCTGTCAGTGGCATCCACGGGCTGTTTGGATCCCCCCCAGCCGCAGTAGCAGCCGTACCCGTTGTAAGCCAGCGGCGATTTCCCCGTCTTTTGAACAATCATCATTCCAAACTGGGCCAAGTTGCAGCTGGCAAGGGCCAGTCCTAGGACTGGAGAAGTGGGGTTAGAAGGACAGGGGAAAAAAAACCTCCCATCCCACCTTTCTACAGCAAAAATTAGCGTTTCCCTCTCCATCTATCTACAGACAGGACCTGGGAGCTTTCCCGGGGGTGGGAGCTGGTGGGGGGAACTCACAGAACAGGAGCAGCGAGAGGAGCTTCATTCTGGTGGTGGCAGCTCCGGGGTTTGGTGAGCCCCAGGTGCTGCTGGTCACACCTTTTATGGCTGTGCACCCTCAGCAAGGCCCCTCCTCCGGGGAGCCCAAAGTGGGCAAATATTGACAATCCTCCCCATACTGGTCCTGCTGTTGTGCTGGGCTGCTGGAGGCCCCGGCTGTGGGATGCCTTAGGTGGGGGAGCTCTTGGCAGGAGGTTTTGGGTGTGTGGGGCAGCCTGGAATCGAGTCTGTGCATGGCTCTGGGTGTCTCAGCTTTCCCAGTGCTTCCCTGAGTAAAATGAGAGAAATTGAGGGACAACAGGAACCACTTAGTACAAGGTGTCCCTTATAAGGTGGAATGAGATTGACTGAGGAGTCTGTGATTCCATGATCCACTCTCTTCCTGGATGACAGTTTTTTGATGTCTTGGCTAGAAAACACCATTCTGGGTCTTACTGTTTCCATCCTAACTTACCTGGAGCAAGGAGAAAACGCAGCCAGTGCAAAGCATCCTCCCCTTCCAACTCAGCAGAGTGGCTGAGATGCAACACTGGGAGTGGAGGAAGATCCCAGGGACTCCAGAATGTCTGTGGCTGGAGAAGGAGCTGAGCAGAGGCTGTGTTTGGTGCTTTTCTCCATAGTGGGGCTTTCTCAGAGCCCTGCATGATGTGGAGATGCTCCATCCCTCTCCCCACGTGTGCTGGGCACAGTGTTTTGCTTTCAAATACCTCATGGCATGAGGTGTGTGGTGCAGCTTTATTTAGAAGCAAAGTAAGTGGCAGGGAAGAAAAAATGCCGGTGGTGTGTGATGGAAGGTGTGGGGGAAAAGAGGCTGCTTGTGTCGTTTAATTTTTGATTAAATTGGTGGTACAGAACAATCATTTAGAGGATAACTTCTGGCAGAGATTGCAGCTGCTCTGTGCTGCTTTTTGGGGAACCCCAGCATGGGCAGATACTGAGGCAGGGGAGGAAATCCCCCCCCAGGGCTGGTAGGGAAACTGAGGCAAGGAATAAGGATGTGACTTGTGTGGGAATCAGATGCTGAGAAAAGGGAACTCAGCTCAACAAAATCTCTTTCCCCTCCTCTGACATGGCTCATCATCAGCTCTCTGGGTTAATTTAGGTAGTCCCCTGGGATGGTGTTAATTGGCTAAACCAGGATTTGCCACAATTCAGGATTTTCCAAGTCCACAATCAGTTTTATCATGGAGGAATAGGGGATATTCAATATTCTTGTCTATCAAACTGGCTGAGTTCCACTGAAAGCTTCTCCACCCTATCCCCTCAACCTGTGCCAGGTTAAATTGGAAATAAGTCCCCCCAAAAGCCAAACACCTCCTGGGAAGCTGTGGGTTTTGTTTCTTAGTATGAAAACCACGACTCTTGCAGCCCAGTTTATTGCACTGCTCTGAGGGGGTGCAGTATCTGAGCCAAAACATCAGCATTTGGAGGATTTGTATGAATGGATTTGTACAGCTGGATGTCCAAGCAGGAAAATTCCTGGATGGTTAAAATTCACCCAGAATTGACAAAGGGAGAGCGTGGTTGAGTTTATCCCAGCCTGCAATCTGTCTGGGCTATCCATCCTCTCCGTGAGGATTTGATCCTTGATTTATGCCTGCTGGGCAAAGGGCTCCTTCCTCATTTCCCCCAGGATTCCACATGGCTGGAGGAGGGTGGCAGGGCGTGGTTCCTGGCTGACAGCTGGCAGAAACATCCATTTCAGGGCTATTTCCTGGTGCCATTGATTTCAGCTATGGGGCAACCCAGGGTGGCAATTCCAGCTGGGCATCAGCCCCTGAGGAAACAGTGTTTTGTTGTTTCTGTGGCTTTATTTCATTGCTGAACCTCCCCCTAAGGTGGTTTGGAGCATGGAGATCTGCCAGGATCAACACCCCAAGGCACAAAACCTGGGGATGCTGAAGTGGGGGGAAGCAGCCACTGCCCGAACTGCCTTTTCCTAAGGAATGTGCTCAGGGTTGTTGCAGAATTGGGCCAAAACATTCTTTTCTGGTGAGAACTCTGTTTTGCTCAGCACTGGGTGTGAGGCAAGCTCCCGGCCATCCTGTCACAGCAGAGATTTAGGGGATCACAGAACATCCCGAGCTGGAAGGGACCCACAAAGATAATTGAAGTCCAAGCCTGTCCCTCCCACACCATCGTTCCTGCCCCCAGCCCTTCCACCAGTCTCCACTCCTCCATCCCTCAGAAAAACTGGGAATTTTCAGAGCCTGAATTTAGAGCTAAGTTGGGGCAGCTCAGGGCTGAGTCGTGTCACCTCTCAAGTGTCGTTTTTGCTGAGTACTTCAAGAGGAAACCTCTCTGAGAGGAGAGGGGTGTTCGCTGGGCTCAGCTGAGTCACGGCACGCTGGGAACCGCTGCTTTGGGCTCTCTGCTTTTATTTTGGAGCAACAGGAGGGAATTTGCTGTGAAGCAGGAAGCGGAGGGAGCGGACAGGCTGCCAAGAGAACGCTTCCCATCACCGGGACGAGGGGCAGGTGTCCATCCACCCCTCCCTTGTTTTGCTGTGCTGGAACATCACGTCAGCTCTGCTCCCCCTCCTCGCATCCCGTGACGCGACTTCACCGGAGGGTTGTTGTCCTCGCCTCGAAGCCAAAAGGCCGAGGAGGAGACTCACCAGGGCTGGGAAGCTCTGCCTGCGCCGTCCCTTGTCGGATCAGTCCCCGGAGATGGTTTGGCAAAGGGAGTTTTTGTTTCAGCACCTCCCGGCTCGTCCCCGGCAGCGGCGGCGGAGCCGAGCCCGGCACAGCCGCGCCGCCCGCTCGCACCTGCAGGCGCCTCGCTGGCACCACGTCCCCGACCCTGCGGGGACACACACCGCACCTGAGACCTTCCCCGAGCCCCCCGGCAAGGGGCAGAGAGAGGGGATGGTGTGGATAAGGGGCAACACTCACTGCAGGTGGGGATCCCTGCCCGGGGAGCCGAGAGCGGCTGGACGGGTCCCGGGCGGCACCGCCGCGCTGCCAGCTTGGCATAGCAGCAGGCTCGGAGCAGGCAGCACCTGCGGCAGGAGGAGAGCCGGGAATGGTCGGGAATGTGGCTTCTCTCCTGCCACAGGCTCGGGGAGAGCCGCCAGCCCTGCATCCTCCTGCGCTGGATCAGACAGAAGCTTCTCTGTCCCGCCCGTTCCCCGTGCGAGCCCTGCCCCGCATCCCAGCTCCAGGACCGTCCCTCTGCGCTGGTGCCACCCCACGGACCGGGCAGCTGCCACGGGCACCGCCCTGCTGACCCCGGCGTGGAGTTAGGGCTCAGCACTGCCTCACTTTCCTTGCTTCCCCAAAACCTCATTCCTTCCTGCTGCTGCTTGGTCTGCGTTTTGCAAAGCTTCAGGGGGTGCTGCTGGGCTTGTGCAGAGCCTCGGGGTTACCCCGGGACCAGCGTTATCCCTCTGGGACCAGCGTTATCCCCCCGGGACCAGCGTTATCCCTCTGGGACCAGCGTTATCCCTCTGGGACCAGCGTTATCCCCCCGGGACCAGCGTTATCCCTCTGGGACCAGCGTTATCCCTCTGGGACCAGCGTTATCCCCCCGGGACCAGCGCTATCCCTCTGGGACCAGCGTTATCCCTCTGGGACCAGCGTTATCCCCCCGGGACCAGCGTTATCCCTCTGGGACCAGCGTTATCCCTCTGGGACCAGCGTTATCCCCCCGGGACCAGCGTTGCCTGTACCGATCCGCCGAAGCCCTCGAGGTGCCCCATCCCGAGTAGCATCCATGGGCAGTCAGGTTTCCTACGGTGCTTCCCTCCAGTCCCGGTGTGAATGTGCGCGGGTGCTTCCCGTGAGCTGTGAACACACCTGGAGTGACCGTAAAATGTGATTTTTTTGGTAAGTTATATGAAGAAATGTGGCCGGGGGAACTGGGGAGGGGAGGAGGCTTTGCTGGGAGTCTCCCTGAGGAGTGCACAGGAGTTTGGGGATGAGCCTGGCTCCTGTCTGTGGGTTGGGGATGCACTTACTGCAGGCAAACAGCATCGTCAGCACCAGCAGGACCCTCATCTTCCTCTCACCTGGGCCTGGGAGGAGAAACAGGGGACAGGCTGAGCCAGGCAGCGAGGCCAGTTTGACAGGGGCTTCCTCTGAAATCGGATCAACCCCCAAAATCTGAAGGGAGAAAATCAACTGTGCCCCCTCCCATCAGTGTTGCTGTCCCTTGGCTGAGAGAGCAGGCGGTTTCTGAAGCTGCCCCACCACCGGAGCATCCCCCAGCACCTGAGCATCCCCCACACCTCCAGCATCCCCCAGCACCTGAGCATCCCCCACACCTCCAGCATCCCCCACCTCTCCAGCATCCCCCAGCACCTGAGCATCCCCCACCACCGGAGCATGCCCCACCCCTCCAGCATCCCCCT